TGGTGACAGTAGGCATCCTTGTCTGGTCCCTGTGCCCAAGAAAATGGCTTTTAGTATTTCTCCATTGAGTATGATGTTGACTCTTGGTTTTGTATATATACTTGTCACTTTGTTGAGGAAATTCTCTTTTATTCTTATTTTACTGAGTGTCTTAATCAGGAAGCAGTGGTGGGTTTTGTCAAACGTATTTTCTGCTTCAATTGCTATGATCATATGGTTCTGGTCATTTGCTTTGTTAATACAAATTGTTCAAGGCAGTCCCAATACAGATATCAAATTGATTTTTCAAGGAGACCAGAAAGAAAATTGTCAAGCTTATTTGGAGAAGAAAGAGACACCCCCCACCCCCGAGATGAGCAAAGCACTTCTAGAAAACAAAAATGAAGTGGGAGGCATAGCTCTCCCTGAAAACCTACAACACATGTGTAGTAACCAAAACAGCCTGGTACTAGTACAATGACAGATACATAAACCAACAGAAAAGAATGAATAAACCAGAAATAGACCTAGCTATGGTCAACTGATACTTGATAAGGAAATAAAACCCATCAAATGGGGAAATGACACCCTTTTCAACAGATGGTGCTGGCAAAACTGTACTGCTACTTGCAGAAAACAAACAGGATCGACATCTCACACTACACACAAACATCAACTCAAGGTGGATCGCAGACCTCGAAGTAAAGTCCAAAATGATCAAGTTACTAACCTAAGAGACAGGCTAGACCAAGCTTGACCAAAGGTCTAGTATGTGGTATAAAGAGGTTGACAAATGCAGCCAGAAATATACAAATATACCATTTGGAGAGAGAAACTGATGGATGGGACTTTCTAAAGATTTAATCCTTGTGCTTAATCAAAACCTTTTTTTTAACAGAGTGAAAAGAAAACCTACCAACTTGGAAAAAACATTTGGCAATTTCATTTCAGACAAGGGTCTTATAACAAAAGTTTACAGAATACTCCTGGGCCTCCACAAGAAAAAGACTGGTAACAATTACAAAATGGGCAAAAGACATGGAAAGAATTTTCACAGTGCAATATATTTGGATGGTAAATAGGCACAAGAAGAAATGCTCAAAAATCACTGACAGTAAGAGATGCAAATCAAAACCACAGTGAGATACCATCTCACCCCAGTAGCAGTGCAAAGTTTAGCAGGGCAGCAAGTAATAAATGGTGGTAAGGATGTGGAAAGGTGGGAACCCGCATACCCTGTTATTGGGATTGTAAAATAGCACCACCACTCTGGAAGGCAGTTTGATTATCTCCTTAAAAAGTTGAACATAGAAACTCCATAGGACCCAGCTACTCCACTATTAGGAATATACCCAGAGGAAGTTATAACTGAGACACGAACACAGACTTGTCCACCAGTGTTCACAGCAGCATTATTCACCATCACAAGAACATAGAAAACAGCCCAGCTGTCCAACCACAACCACAACTGAATGGATTGAAAAACTGTGGTACATTCATTCAATGGAATACTACGCAGCACTCAGGAGCAACAATTCTGAAAAATACTACATAACTTGAGACAGACTGGAGAACATTATGCTTCATGAAGTAGCTCAGCCTCGTAAGGACAAATACTGCCTAAGATCATTATTGTAAAAAGAGACGGATAACTAGTAAAACATGTATGGGGAACCAAAGGAGAGACGGGTGGGAGCAGAGGGGTAAGGATGGGTAGGGGGGAAAATCACAGGATTGAACAATTAGTGTGGGGGGAGAGAGTCAAGGAAATGGGAAAGATTCATTGGGGAGCTGAGAAAACAGGGTAACGGTGGGCAGAGTGCTATGATGATCAATTTTATAAAGCATAATGCTGGGGAATGGTCATATGAAACACAATGTGAATGAAGAATAGTGTGAAACACAATGTATATGAACTTGGTAAGCAAGTCAATATAAAATAAAATTTAAAAGAAACCCAAAACCTCATAATCCAGGTGGGACAAGCCTTCCAAGAGAATGCACTGAAATGAGAAAAACAGACCTCCACTCTAGAAATGCAATGATTCCCGTGTCGAAGATGGTCTTACTCAGAAGTGAAAGTAGGTGGAGGTCATTGTTATCCCACCGCCTGGCAACCCTGTTCAATTGTAAGAATACACCGGGGATACTATTTAGAATCCAGCGCTTAGGTTTTTTGCCCCACCTCTGCAAATTCCAATCCACAGTTCTGAGGTGGGGCCCCTAATAGAACCTTTTCATCTGAACTTTTCATTCATCTGAATTTCATTCATCTGAATTTTCATTAGAAAATTTCCTAAAGGAAGACAGCTAAGACAGTGCTGAGGGGGAAATTCATAGCCTTTAAACACATAATAAAGCGATAAAAAGGTGAGTCTAATATCCAGAACAAAACAGTAATAGCAAAATAAAACTACGGAAAGTTGAAGGAAAGATTTGGTAGAAATTAATTCAGAGAAACAATTAAAAGAATAAGCTGATTATTTGGGAAAATTAAACCATGAAATAAAAGCACTATCTAGGTGTAGATAATGTTGACACAAGAGCCTCAGTAATGAATCACACCAACAAACGTGCAAACGGCGTAGGACCAGTCAGGGGCCGTTCATGTGGTGAGGCATAAGAGGTGGAGCCCACACAACAGAGAAGAACAATCTTGTGAAGGGAAAAGGTGATAAAGAACAAATAGGGCCCATGAGCATCCAAAATCCAAGTCCACCATCATACGACGGCATTGGGTTGGGAATGGAATGCTCTACACTAAGCTAATAATCGAGGCCACCAACTGATAACCAGAGGGAAAAAGAATTGCCACAGATGCTAAACGGACATTTGGTAAAACGCAGAATCTATCTTGGTTCACAAGTGCTTGAGTAACCAAAAATAAAAGCCGGCGGCTCACCGTTCAGGAGGCTGAAAGTTTCCTTTCAGGGCATGGCCCCAGGGGTTGTCTTCTAGCTCCTGGTGGTCCTGGGTGGGCAGAGGCACCAGACTCCGGCATCCGTCTCTTCTTCCACGTATGTCTGCTCTTCTCACACCTCTGAAGCGATGAAGATCTCTTCTGCCAGCTTCAATCATGTTTCTAAACAGAGTCAGACAGGCAGATGCAGGGCTTAGGACAACAATCCCGAGGGTGGTAGAGTCAAAGAAGGTCTTCCTAATGACAGACATCTTGTGGCTTTAAAAATCTGAACAAAAAAAGGAACCACCGTTTTTAAGGATACAGATGTTTGTTATTGTGCTACAAATTCACAAACACTGAGCAGGATTTCTGCTGTCATTCTAGGCTGTTAGACGCTGCAGTAACCAAAGCCTCACCACCATCAAGTACGTCCCACTCACACTTCACTTTCATCTCCGACAGCCCCACTCCTCTCAGGAACCAGAGCTGATACAGCAGCGTCCATGGAGCCACGGCTGGTCCTGTGGTGGACGACAGAGCCACGGGGAATCATGAAGCTTTTGTTCCCAAGGGGCAGGCACTATCTCTCCACACCTCTACACACCATCTCTCCACAGTCACATGACAGGATGGTGGGCAGTCAGGTGCCCCAGAGAAGGGAAGTATTTTTTTCCCCCGTAGGAAAAACTAGATACAATTTGCAACATACAAAGGAAGGGAAATGGACAGCCAGGTCACTGGAGAGTGGGGAAGGAGGTCTAGAAAGTTCTGAATACTATCTAAGTTTAGGGAGCCTTTTCTGAATCCATTATAGCAGATTTAAAGGCAGGACGTTGAATGACTCATCACATCGCTGTGGACAACAGATCCAGACTGATTTCCTCAAGCTCAAGCCCACAGGTGCAGTCCCTGTGTCGCCGGCCTTGTTGAGGGTCTTCCTCTCACGGACCCTCTGCTTTCCCACACATCATGTCCTGCTCCTTGCACTGGCCCCCCGCCCGACAACATGCCTCCAAGTACATGACGCACAGTCTCGCCAGCCTCATGTCCAAGAAGCATCTGAAATGCTCAAAGTTAGAGCAGAGCTCTATGAGCTCACAGTGCAATTTCTAAAGATATTTTATAAAGTGGGGACTGTCAGTGTTAATAAAACCTAAATGAAACATTGTGTAAAACTAACATACAGGCACGAAACAACATATATGATAGAATATTTTAAAAAGAAAACTTGTGAAATACTTACAGCCAATGCTAGCACAGTGTTAAATCTAAATAAGTCTTTTTATCGTCATTATTACTAAAGTCTTTGGGGGGGAATTGCTGGGTGCCTTTTCTCCAGATCCTCCCTGAGTGTTCAGCCAGCTTTGCTTTCTCCTGTGTGGTCCTGACCCTGTGGGCCTGTGTAGGTGGTGGTCTCCTGTGCCCACCTGCCCATGTTTGTGCTGTGCGTGCACACTCATGACCAGACAGACAGACTTCCTTACCTTCTGTCTACAGTGGCTTGGCCAGGAGTCAGACGCCTTACTGTGCTGGGGACATCTGTCACACACTGGTCTTCAGCCACTGCCAGGCATGTGTTCAAACACAATCTCAGGTGAGCTGTCCTCAGGCAAGGGGACTTCAGCAGACTCCCTGACAGGTGAGTCTGCCGATGTGTGCTTTGCTGGGAGGCTGCCAACAGAGAAGAAACCTTCACAGGGCTGCATGCTTCTGAGAGGGGTCACTGCAGGAGGGGACATCAGCCTGGCGGGACACCAGGCGGGAAGACAAAGCTGAAAACATACAAAGAGAAGAGTTTCCAAAGGGGCTGGTGTGGCTCGGAGGACAGAGGTGGGTAGTGGGAGACTCTGTGTGTCTTTATGTGGGGCTCCAGAACAGAGACAATTTGACTTCCTGCCCAACTCCATGGGCACAGGGGCAAGAGGACACCCCAGCTCTACAGATGCCCAGTGACCACACCACACATGCACTTAGGTAAAAAGGTGTATTCAAAGTGAGAAGAGCTGTATGCTACACCAGTCAAGGACTCTCCAAATAAATAAATGCTCAGAGGTATAATACAGCCTCCAAGGGCAGTGCAGCCTCTGTCCGGCCAGTTCCCAGGGAGGCGCTGGCCATATCAGGTAGAGGAGTTCTTCTGTGTTTGTTTTTTCCTTTCTTCCAATAAAGACAGTACATTCTAGAAGAACAAAACACAGGGGTGAGTATAACCCAGGGTTCTAGTGATTTGTTCCATTTTAAAAGCTCAAGAGAATTAGCCTTGGAAAGCAAGTGTTCCAACCTGTCTGTCAAACACTCGGGCCATTTCTAGGACACCTTTGCCAAACTGCAAGAGAAAGGACAGTATTTGTTTATATACATTTGCACGTGCATATCCACACGTGTATGCACACGTGCACACATAACTCGAGATGTGTCTGCACATTCACACACGTACACGTGCTCTCAAACACCTGTACACACACGTAGGTATGTCTGCACATTCTCAAACTGACACATGCTGACTGCACATTCACACACGTACACGTGCTCATAAACACCTGTACACACACACACACACATTTTTTTTTCCCCGGGAACCCCTCATGTGACTGGAGTTACCTCATTTTTCACACTGGCATCTGCCCCTTTGTCAAGAAGTAACTGCACTAACTCTTCGTGATTATTCAGCACGGCCACCTGACAACAAACGGGCGCTGTGAGTCCAGGTGGGCACACCTGCAGCCTCGCTGGCCGGGCCATGCACTGCGGGAGCAGGCACGTGTCCAGCAAGCTGCCCGCTGGTGACGACAGTCCATGGGGATGGGACCTGCTTTTCTACACATCACATAGCACAGAGCATGGCAAGTTGTCTACACAGACCCAACATTCATCCCACAGAGACTAGGAGTCCTCAAGCAAAAAGTCATTAAAACACAACAAAAACCCAACAGTGATGTTGTCATGGCCTGCCTAACAAGGATCATAACCCCAGGGCCACTAAACTCAAAAGGATCATCTAACAAGGGAAAACTCCCTGCCCTTGCTTCCCCACCCTCCTATCCCCCTACCCCACCCCAGACAGACTCCCTCCTCCATACCAGGGTACCTCCCCCGCCAGGTGTACCATCAGAGGGGTCTTCCCATCCTTATCCTTCACGTTCACGTCTGCTCCGGCCTCGATCAAAAGGGAGGCCACCTTCTGGTTTCCAGACACCGCAGACACACGCATGAGGGGGGTCCACCTGGAGCCGGTGTCCGTGACATCTACCTGTGGAGTCACATCGACAGCAGCCTTTAGCCCACCTTGTCTCCCCTTGGAATGCATGGAAGAATCGGCCCAGCTCCCCTGCTCATGTGGTGGTGGTCTCTCCAGGTGGAGTAACACCTGGCAGGGCTGGACTCACCTGAGTCACGTGGATAACTGAGAAGCCCGTGTTAGGTCACGTTAGCAGGGGCCCGCACAAGCTTCCCGCTGGTACCTGCACATATGTCCGGGCTCCCTGTGAATCTGTCTCGTTCTCCTCACTTTTGCTCAAATAGCTTCTTTTGCTTAGTTTGTTTCATTGTGAGCCACTTTGAACCTTCTCTGGAATAAGGAAAAATACCTGCTTCCTTATACCTATCAACTCTCACCTGTTCTCAGCAGGAGACACACAGGGAGGAGCAAATAGAAAGCAGCAAGCTTCAGGACGTTGTTGGTTGTTGTTGTTGGTGGTTGGTTGTTGTGGTGGGTGGTGGTGGGTGGTGGTTGTGGTTGGTGGTTGTTGGTTGGTGGTGGTTGGTTGGTGGTGGTTGTTGGTTGTAGTGGCTGGTGGTGGGTGGTGGTTGTTGGTTGTTGTGGGTGGTGGTTGTGGTTGTTGGTTGTTGTGGGTGGTGGTTGTGGTTGTTGGTTGTTGTAGTGGTTGTTGGTGGTGGGTGGTGGTTGTGGTTTGTGGTGGTTGTTGGTGGTTGTGGTTGTTGGTGGTTGTTGGTTGTAGTGGTGGTTGGTGGTGGTGGTTGTGGTTGGTGGTGGTTGTTGGTTGTAGTGGCTGGTGGTGGTGGTGGGTGGTGGTTGTTGGTTGTGGTGGTTGGTGGTGGAGGTTGTGGTTGTTGGTGGTGGTTGTTGGTTGTAGTGGCTGGTGGTGGTGGGTGGTGGTTGTGGTTGGTGGTGGTTGTTTGTTGTTGGTGGTTGTGGTTGTTGGTGGTGGTGGTGGTGGTTGTTACGAGCCATCGAGTTGCCTGCAACTCACAGTGACACTGTGTACAGCTCTGAACCCTGCTCTATCTTGAGCCAATTTCATTGTTTCTGACACACCCACCCCCATTACCCCAGTCACTGAATCAGTCCATCTCATCGAGGGTCTTCCTCTCGTGCACTGTCCCTCCACCCTCCCAAGTTTGACATCTTTCTTCAAGGACTGGTCCCTCCTAGGAACATGCCCAAAGCATATGAGAGATTGAAAATCCTTGCCTCCAAGAAGCAGCCTGGTTTCCCCCTCTCCAGGGCAGACCTATTCTCTTAGCAGTCCATGGCATGTGTGTTCAATGCTCTTCCCAGCACCCCAATTCAAAGGCATCGATTCCTCTTCTGTCGTCCTTGGTCATTTTCCAGCTCTCTGATGTATAACAAATAATTGTAAAGACCATGGCCAGGATCAGGTGCGCTTTAGTCTTTAGACTGATATTGTTGCTCTTCAGTACTCTAGAGTGGGCTCTTATGGCAGACTTTCCCTATGTAATTTGTCTTTTGATCGCCTGGCTGCTGGTACCAAGAATGTTGATTGTGGAAACATGCAAGTTGAAGCTGTTAACACTCTTGATCTCTTCGATGTCTATCATGCTGCTTACCAGCCCAGTAGTGAGAATCTTTGTTTTCTTGATTTTGAGCTTCAATCAATATTGAAGGCTGCAGTCCTTGAGCTTCTGCAGTAAATGCCTCAGGTCCTCCTCAGTTTTGGCAAGCAAAGTAGTGTCATCTGCATCACCCAGGATGTTGATGAGACTTCCTCCAATCCTCATGCAACATTCATTCTCAAAGCCCAGCCTCTTGGATGATCTGTTCCACCTATCGACTGAAAATGCAGAGAGATAGGAGGCATCCCTGGCATACACCTTTCCTGATCTTGAACCATGCAGTATTTCCTTGCTTTGTTCTGACGGCTCCCTCCTGGTCCAAGTATAGGTTTTACATGAGCACAATCAAGTGCTCTGGGATTCCCATTTTCCTCAAGGTTATCCACAGTTTGTTGTGATCCACACAGTCAAATTCCTTTGCATAAATCAACGAAACACAGATAGACATTCCTCTGGTACTCTCTGTGATACCACCTCAAAATCTGAAAAGTTAGCACAACTATCAAGCCTACTGCTTGCTGTCCAGAAGAGTCCAACTCTTGGGGACCTTCCATCAAGTATCTGAGACTGTAAATCTTCACAGGAAATGACTGTCCATTTTTCTCCTGTGGAGCAGCTGGTGGATTCACACTGCTGAACCTTTGGTTAGCAACCACATGGCAAACATCACACCACCAGGGCTTGGTAGGGAACCCTACGCCTTCCCAAAACAATGTGTCTAGGAGTCAAACGGCCACTCTCCAATTACCTACTCTACGTCAAAAGTGCTCAGCTTAGTGGTTTAAGGGGCACATTTTGGACTAAGAGAAGGTTAATATTCCCTCCTAGTCCAAGAAGGGCCTCACCAACCCGTGAAGAATGCTACTAGAGGAAGGATGTGGGTACACACATTCTGTCACTTAAGGATTAGTAAATCACCATCTGTAGTATTAACAAAGCATCAGAATGGGATAACACGGAGGAGCTGCTGGCAGGGCTTGGGGCGCTGCAGATGTGTGTCCCATCATGTGATCCACTCAATGCCATCAGAGACCATGGCTCTGCCTCCGCCAAGCCCCCACCCCAGGCCAACTCAGTAACATCCCTGGGACTTCTGGGTATGGAGACCAGCAGCGAGCCAATGGCATCTGTGCCACTATATGTAAGTGAAATGGAGCAGCAAGCACGCCTGACCCCAGGTGAAGACTCCTTGGGCTGAAAGGCCCCGTTCCTGATATTCAGGCAGTGAGCCCCAAGACTGGTAGAGTGACCACAATCTTTAAAGCTAACCAAGGAGAAAGATAATGAGGAAATGTGTAAAGCAATGAGAAGTAGCACTGTAGGTTCTCGGGGTTCCCAAGATGCTGGGAACTTGAGACAGGGATGCTCAGTCAAGTTCTACTGACTGATGAGATGAAGAGACAGATAAGTGTGAGAGAGCAGACATGAGTCTGATGTGGCATCAGGACCTGCCCTGAGTTCAGGGACCATTTTTTTTTTATTTTTCCCACAGGAGTTGAACCTGTATGATGATTTAAGGTCTCCTCTTCCTATCAGTGCTAAGGTGGTGTTTTTGAAAACCTCAGGAACCTCCATATTGATAAGCCAAACCATTTCTAAGCTCAATTAACCAACAGCACCTACAGAGAAGCCAGCAGCTCAAATATTATAAAACTAATGACTGGATGAAAAAACAGGATTTGTCAATTTTTCACTTTAATTGGAAAAAAAGGGGGCAAATATTAAAAGCAGCAGCAACTCACTTCCGACACACAGCAAACTCAAGGGTCAGTGACAGTTACACCCAGGAGGGGCTTAGTGGCCGTTGTTTTGGAAAGCAGAATGTCAGGCCTTGCTTCGGAGCTGCCTTTTGGTGGACTCGATCCACCAACCTCTCAGCCTCCGGCTGAAGGAAAAGACCCCTACCTCACAGCCCTCCTTGATCATCCACTTGATCACGTTGCAGTGGCCTCCGTCTGCTGCCCAGTGCAGGGCCGTGCAGCCTCCCAGGTCTCTGGTGTCCCAGGAAGCACCGTGTCTTCGGAGATACTTCACAATGTCTAGGTGTCCCCCGTAGCACGCAAGCATGAGACTGCGGCACATGGAAGAAGCAGCACTGGGCTGTAAACACAGGGCTGCAGGGTCATCAGCCCAGCAGGCAGGTATCAGACAGGTCTGGTGGTGCTGAGCTGACAAGCTCATTCTGCCTCATGGGAACCCTGCATGACTGAGAACTACCTCGTAGGATTTCAAAGGATGTAATCTTACGGGGGCAGAACACCAGGGTCTTTTTGTCTGGTACAGCCATTAGTGGATTTGGACAATCAGCCTTTGGGATAGCAGTCAAGAGCTTAACCATTATACTACCATAGCGCCATTTTACTCTACCTTGCTTAAACCAAGAAATCCTAAATTTGCATGAAAACATCATAAATATTTTCCATGTAAAATCTCTTTCTACCCATTGACTGGTAAATCAAGAAACAAAATGTGATACATGCATACTGTGGAATATTGTGGTTCACTCATAAAAGGACATTAAGTTCCGACACATAGACACGGATAAACCTTAAACACAGTCCAGTGGAGGAAGTCATCACAGGGACGACACAGGGAGTGATCTATTCCCATCAAATGTCTGGATCAGGTAAATCTAGAGAACACCCCGGTGGCACAGTGGTAAAGCGTTCAGCTCCTAACGAAAAGGTCGGCATTTTAAACTTAGAAATGGCTCTCTGGAGAAAGATGTAGCAGTCTGCTTCTAGAGAGATCACAGCTTTGGGAAACCCTGTTGGGCAGTTCTAGCCTGTCCTGTAGGTTCCCTCTGAGTCAGAATCAACTCGATGTCAATGGGTTTGTGTTTGGGCCAGTGTTTGCCAGGGGCTGGGAGTAGCAATCCTGTGCTGAGCACTTATTAAGAGATAAAAGACACCCATGATAGATGCCCTATAAACCTCTTGTGAATGAAACGACCAATGAACAAGCCAATAAAACTAGCCTTTGTTGTCATCTTCTTTCATTTGGGATGTGCTCGGATCCCTCGTTTCATAAGCACTTGACTTTGCCCTTCAGATATGCACAACAAAGTTTGTGTATGTTTATAAATTGGAGGCTTGTGGGAACCCTAAATCAAGCAAGCCCCCTGCTGCCATTTTCCCAACAGCATAAGCTCACTTCGTATCTGTTACATCTTGGTCTTCCTCGCAGTATTTCAAACATTTTCACAATGCTGTCGCACAGTTAAGGGCTACGGTGGTCCAGTGGGTAAGGAATTGCACTGCCAACCCAAAGTCACGCAGTTTGACTCTACCAGAGGCTCTGAGAAGAAAGAGGGGTGGTCTCCTCACATACCATTACAGCCCCTGAAATACCTGTGGGAAAGTCAAGCTTTTTATCAGCTGGTTCTGACCCAACAACAGTGAACAATCCGGCACAGTTAACTAGACTGTCTCACTCCCTCACTGTCATCAAGGCATGGACTCAGAGCTGGCCCTCCATTGGGTTTCTGTGGTCGTAAACTGCACGGAAGATTTTTCTCCCATGTGGATTCGAACTGTCAGAGGCACATCAGCTTTGGCTTAGCAGTGCAGCTTCCACATGGGATACTACATCTACATACGTGGGGTGGTTATGTGCCATCAGGCTGACTATGACGCAAAGCCAGACAATGGCTCTGAACCTTCCCTATCCTGAGTCAACCTCACCATCTGACACACCTAATCCCGCCGCCACAGTCACTGTGTCAAATATATCGACATCTCAAACTCACTGCTGTCGGGCCGGAACCGACTCAAAGCTGGCCCTCCAGTGAGGGGCTGAGGCTCTAAGAAGCCTGGGGAGAGCCCACCAGTCTTCCTCCTTGGGTTACTGGTGGGTCTGAACTGTCAGTCCACCCTTGGAATCAGCAGGGCAACTCCCTGCAGACCACGCCAGCAGAGCTCCCATCTATGCAGATCGTTGAAGGATAAAGAGCTCTCCTTACACCCTGGGGAACCACAGCACTTATGACTCACTTGACCCAGCTAGTCACTTTACCGCAGTGGTCGGAAAGGGAATCACGGCGTCTCCGGAGTCTACACGTTCACCTGTGGTTCTGTGCAAAGGTGGGGCGTGGGGTATACTGGAGGGAAAGGGAAAGCCCTCGGGGCAGAAGCCTGGTAAAGACTTCTGGGATCCTCAGGGCCGGTTAGGGCACATCCGCCCACTCACCTGTCCTTGCCACTTCCGTTCTTCAGATTCACATCGGTGCCGTTGGACACAAGGATTTTCACAAGCCTGATGGAGACACACGTAAATGGAGCCAGGTGTGTCATACTGAGGAGGAGGAAGCCCGAGAATTCACGCTGCAATCAAGGGTCTGTGCGGCACCTTCTCCGCAGACCCACTCATCTTAAAGACAACGTAACTGTAGACCAGAAAATCGCCTCTGGGCACCAACAGAGGGGCTTTTCAGCCTCAAATTCTTTGTCAAAAAAACAAATGACATCTTCAGCACAACCAAATTGAATTATCAGAATAATTCACTCTCACTTTATTGATTATTCCTATTATCAAATGGCCACATTTAATAAAAAACTCTATTGAGAACATCAGTTTAGTAATTAAAATATAAAGATGATTGAAAAATAGGATGTTAGCATGTATGTTTATCTCTGTGTGAAATAGATCATGAAATACATTGATGAAAATGGTATCTCAACCATCAATGAAACAAGTTCATTTTCTAGAGCTAATAGCTGTCTCTGCTTTTACTTTTTTAAAATTTATTTTATTAATTTAATGAACTTTTACAGATATTTTGGATTTTCATTCATTCATTGTTGCACTTTTTTCTTTACCCCCTCCCCCCATTTCGCTCCTCTCTTTGAAAAGCAAAAGATAAACTTCTTCGTTGGTATACAATAACCGCCCCCCCGCCCCAAATGCACTCCATTATGCAACCTTAATTACTAGTTTTCTTTCAAACTAATCATACCCACTGCCATCAGGTGGATTTCAACTCATGACCACCTCCATTGAGTTTCCAAGGTTGTAAATCCCAATGGGAGGAGACTGCCCAGTTTTCTCCCGCAGAAGCTGGTGGATTTGAACCATATGCCTTTGGATTGGCAGCACAACTCCTTACCATCAGAGATTAGAACCATCGATTTCTGTGCTGGCAGCCCAACACGTATGCTACTACACCACCAACCCACTGTGACCAAGATGGAAATGACTCCTAGCTGGCCCTGCAGTGGTTCTCAAGGGCTGTAAACCACATGGGAGGAACTTGCCCATCTTCCTCTCACAGGGCCCCGGTGGTGGGAGATCAATAGACACTGCCTTTCAGTTCACAGGGCAGCTCCCTACAGGCCAAACAAATCCATCACAAGAGAGCTTTCAAGATACACTGAATATAGTCAAGTGGCTGCCTCTCTTCCATAAAGGAGCCCTGGTGGTGTGGGGTGTAGCATGTAGGGCTTGCTAACTAAAAGGTCAGCTGTTTGAACCCACAGCCACACCATGGAAGACAGAGTGTCAGCCCTCTAAAGATTTACAGTCTCCATGAACTGGACTCACTGTGATGGCAGGGGCTACATCTCTTCCCGTAACTTTACATTCTCCGCTTTATGATAAAAATGAAAATAAATAAAGGCTGACTTTGCAAGGCACAGTATGGTTCAGTTCTGGAAAGAGGATAAAGGCGTTGGCCCCTTCACAATCCTCTTTCTTCCCCGTCCAGCACGAGCCTCTGAAGGAGCTGGTGGAAACCTGTTGCTCAGAGCTGGAAGATGAGAGGCTGTACCTGGTGTATCCTTTCTGAGAAGCAACCATCAGCGCTGTGAAGCCAAACTTATTGGGCACATCGACCTTCACGTTCCTAGGGAAACATCAAGGAGAGGCTAGCATGCCCGCCCGGGGCCCGCCCGACTCCCGTGGGCACAGGAGGCCACTACGCTTCATTTTACCAAAAATGCCTTTCTTCAGAACTGTTAGCTTCTGGCTTAGTCTTCCCTGCCTAATATTGTCAAAGATTCAAAGGTACAAGAATAGAGGCCCAAACTGCTACCAGTTAACTTAAAAATAGGCACTTCCTTCGACTCAAAACCAGTACAGTGCATTAAAGACGCCCCAGGAAGAGCACGGCCTCCTTGCGCCACTGAGGGCCTGGCAACTCGTCCTCACGGCAGACTCTCTCCACCCCAGTGGGCAGGTGTGGCCTTTGTGGAAGCTTTTTTCCCCTCTTGAATCTCATACCATCCTCCTCTGCATAAATCAACGCCTCAGAAGAAAGCAGGGCTACTGACTACCAGCGTGGACGCACTGGCCGCAGGGCCCTTGCTCTTGCCCCACTGAAAGCCCCAATTCACAAACATCTTGTCTTGAAGCATTCTGAACCAGTGAACCAAGAGGAGCCTAGACACCTGTGTCTGCTTGGCTCACTGGGAGCACAGATGAGATGTCCCTGCCGTTTTTTTCTCTACTGGTTTCCCAGTCTTCAGAGTTCAGAAGTGGCTGGTGTGACTCATTTCATCAGGAAAAGCCTGCCTGTGTGCTGTGACATAGAACCACAAGGTAGAAATGATCTCTGGGAAGACAGTTTTACTTCAACAATTCCCAAATAGCACACAGAGAGGGCCTTATCCCCATTCCCGACTGTGCTGACCCCACACTGAGTGCCTGAGACAGCCGAGGCCAAAGGCCGGGCATTGGGGAAATGACAGGACGAGAAGGCAAAGCTGAAGCGTGTGCGTCTATGCGTTTCACAGGCAGCTAACGAAACACAATTAAAAGGGACCTGGTGACGTCCTCTCACCCTCCTCGAAGGATCTGAAGGAGGAAATCCTCATCATTCACGCTGACAGCGCGGTGGAAATGCTCGCTGCTGATGGGCTCTCCTGCGGACACAGAGCACAGTCATCCGCGCTGCGGCGGGAGCAGTCGCCCCAGCCACATGCCTTCCCTGCCCGCGAGTGCGTGTTCACGTTCAAGGCCGCTTGTCTACTTGTCTGTCTCGAAGGCACAGTTTCCTGCTTAATGCTGCCTCTTGCGATTGTTTATGTTGGCTGAAAAAAGACCTTGTTTGCATGTGCTATCAGAAGGACATTTAGTCTGTCGACCAGCAGCACCCAGAACGCCCCTTTAAACTGAGGAGGAGAATTCATCTCTTGCACTGCGGGCATGTTATCAGGGTGCGGGGGGAGAGGGGGACAGGTGTGTACCAGTCCCTGGAGAAAGACGGCATGCCTGGAAAAGCAGTAACTGTTCTGGTAGTTCTCATCAAGTCGGACCTGACAGAACAAACCCTGCCCCATCCCGCGCCGTCCTCACCAGCTCTGCGGTGCTGAAGGCCTGTGTGCAGACCCCATGCTGGTGCACCTTACTGAGCGTCTGCCTCTGCCTTATCACCTATTTACCAAAAGCAGGGCGTGCAGGTGGCCTGGCTGTAAGGAGCTGCACTGCCAACACAAAGGCTCGGGGCTCGAATTCACCAGCTGCTCCATGGGAGAAGGGTGAGCAGTCCCTCCCACGTCATTAACTGCCTCTGAAAATCTGCTGGAGGGTCAGCTGTGAGTCAGTTCCGACTGGACGGTACGTAACTTTCCCCAAACACACCCTGCTCCAGGAAAGGCCTGTCTCACCGTCCACGCTTCCACACAACTTCAGGCTGCACTTTTCTCCTAACGCAGAGCTGCCTATTTTTCAGGAAGTCCGTGGCACAGCCAGTATTTCCCCCAACACTACAGTTCAAGTCGTTGTGTTAACTGCTGTGTGCTGTTGAGTCAGAGTCGACCCACAGCTGCCCGTCCAGCAGGTTTGCAGAGGCACCTGGGCGCGCGGGAGGAGATCGCCTGGTCTTCCTCTGTGGAGCAGCTGGTGGATTCAAACCGCACACCTTTTGTGTTGACAGTGCAGTTCCTTATCACGAAGCTACCAGGGCTCCCTCAGCTAACAGAGAGGGTCATCACAAAAGAGAAAGACCCTCCAGGGACATATGTAGACCAGGGCTAACGCAGTGGGCTCTCACGCCTGGCAATGGTCGTGAGGGTGGCACAGGGCAGGGCCATGGTCCACTGCTGGACACAGCATCTCTAGGAGTCTGATCAACTCGACAGTTAACAGCAAGGACGTTTAGAGAGGGGGCCTGGTGGTGCGGTGGATGAGTGCTTGACCGCAAACTGAAGGTCAGCTCTCGGAAGTGACCAGTCATTCTGCGAGGGAAGAGCTGGCACCTCCTGCCATGAAGATGACCCATGGGGGGCCGTTCTGGTCTGTCCCGTGGAATCACAAGGAGTCAGAACAGTCTGCATCAAATGGACGAGACATGCCCGCAGAGCGTTGTGCCATTTTCAAGGTATAAAGGTGTTGCTTGGTGAAGGTAATGTTGAGATTTGAAAACAGTCCTTTCAGATTTCGGAAAATAAGGTCTCCCCTCACTGTGGCTGGGTCAGTTCTGACTCAAAATGACCCTCTGTCTGGTTTCCCCGGATGGAGAGTGTAACAGGAGGAAGTGGCCCCTCCCTCGGCACAGTGACCTCTGCCCTTTGAGTGAGCAGCACGATCGTGATGGATGAAGCCGTCAGAGCGCCTCTTTGTTGTTGCTAGGTACCGTCAAGTACCACACATGGCAACCCTGTGAAAAGTGGACCTGAACCCTGTCCTGTCCTGTGCCATCCTCAACATCTCTGACACACTTGAGCCCACTGCTGCGGTCACTGTCAGTCCATCTTACCTTCCTCTCTTTCACTGACCCTCCACCTCCCCAAGCATGATGTCCCTTTCCAAGGAGCAGCCTTTCCTAATTAACATGCCCAAAATTTGAGCTGAAGCATCACCATCCTTGTCTCCGGGAAGCATCCCAGCTACACTTTCCCTAGACATATCGGTTTGTTCTTTTAACCCCCTCTTCCTCTCTCACAGAGAGACCTCCAAGGAACCAACACCCCAGCACAGGCCCCTTCTCCTCTCCAGGTCTCCTGAGGGTGGGCCCAGGGGGCCGGCAGAGAACGGACTGGGGAGGAGACGGGTCGAACAGCAGCCATGGGCTGACACCAATTCATTCATGCCAAGTTCACATTGTTTTGAAATAACCATTCTGTCTGCCAGAAGCCTGCCAATCTCCTCAAGATGTTTTTAGCCACATTTTATTTCCTCTTGGTCATTCCACACATTTTTCAGACCCGGAGCTTCAGACGAAAGCATTAGGATAAGCCATGTAGCTGCAAGCCCACGGCTGCCCAGGGCCTTTCAGCAGAGGCCGTCCCACCCAGTGATCCCAAACACTAGGAGCCAGGGTTTTAAGGGCCCCCACTGCACCCCCAAGAACTTTGGCAATGGTTGCAAACATTCTTAACTCTACAGTGGGGTCAGGTAGGCGGGTGGTATCACTGGGCTGTAGTGGGTCGAGACCAGGGATGGTGATAGGTACACGCCTTACAAGGCACAAGCCAGCCTCACACCAAAAATAAACGGGTGCCAAACATCTACGGTGCTGAGACTGAGAAACTCGGGCCTAGAGAGAGATCGAAAGTGATATTATATGATCCAACCACACGTTAGGTGGGGCACTAGCCAGCCCCACATCCCTTCCCTCCAAACCTCCCCGAAAGAAGGGGCAGCCTGGTGAGGTGTCCCTCTTCCTCATAGCTACGGACTTGAACCAACTCACAGCTGGCTCCTCTGGCGGGCTTCCGAGCTATCTCACTGGAGGAGACTGAGCTTCTTTCTCCCACAGAGCGTGGAGAGGACTTGAATCGCCAGAGGCAGGGCCTTCAGGGCAGCAGCGCCACCTCCCTGTGAACTACCCCAACAAGCAGTGCCCCGCACCCCAACTTCTGAGATTCAAGTCACCCAGGAACTTTCCTGTGTGAAAAACAATGTATTCTAACTGTGTAAACAAACCAGTATAATGTCAATCACCACTGAAAAGGCACGTTCCTTCGCACACAGTCACCTTGAGGGCACATACAAAGCACACAAATGCCATTAAATGTTAGAGTGTGATGTCCTGAAGCAAAGCCAAGCAGAAGAGGTCAAGCTGGTGACGCAGAGATTCCCCGGAAAAGAGGCAGAGGCACCAGGATATGGACTGATGAGGCTGCGTCAACGGCTCACACCTGTCATCGCTTGTGGGGCTGACACGGGATGGGCAGGGGCTCTCGGGGTTTCTCTGTGACGCACAAACGTCCCTCAGGTGGAAGTGACCTGATGGCACCTAGCAACCACCACTAGATCTCCTGAGTCAAGCTTATCTAGGGCAGCGCTTGAAACCAGAGCGTCGCTGAGGGAGAGGAAGGCCATCAACAACATGGCCCAACATGGTGACTCCACCGACAACCTGAGCACAGGGCAGAGAGAGGGGCACAAGGGCAGAGAGGGAGGGCACAGGGCAGAGAGGGGGGCACAGGGCAGAGAGAGGGGCACAAGGGCAGAGGGGGGCACAGGGCAGAGAGGGAGGGCACAGGACAGAGAGGGAGGGCACAGGGCAGAGAGGGAGGGCACAGGGCAGAGAGGGGGGCACAGGGCAGAGAG